TGGATTCTCCTCTCTCCCTTCCTCCCTCCCTCCTGGGGTTGCCTGGCTGCCACTCAGGAGGCTGCTCCAGTCCTCACAGCTGAGCTGGCCAGAAGCTGCAAGGGAGGAAATTCCACCTTCCCTGCTGGGGTGGAGGCCCTGCCCCGGGGAACTCCACCAAGGCTGTCGCCATAGCTGGGCTCCCTGTCTGCAGGGCCCAGCTGCCTGTGCTGTGAGCTCACACACCGAGAGCCCTCTGGGTACCTACTGCTCCCTTTCTTTCCAGACATTTTGTTTTTCTGAGCCTCTGATTTTTCTTCTATAAAATAGCCTAGTTCTACTCATTCCTACCGAGACGGTAAGTTTTTTGGTGAGCGTCAAAGTGGCCAGTAATGAAATTATAAGGATTCATGAACACCTTTTATCTCCCCTACCTCTGCTGCTCTCCAGGTTTGGTGGAAGACAGAGGGAGGGAGGGAGACAAAGAGGGGAAAGTGACCCCTATGTTTACAGAAGAACACGCCTGACTTCAGTGAAAGCCATGAAGGGGGAAAGCCCTTAGCATTTGGTCAGGAGGAGCCTGCAGTTCAAGAGGGCAGAGGTCATGATAGGAAGTCCCCCTGAAGGATGTCCCAGCTGCAACATTGTCTTGAAATCAAACATGTTTTTCCCTCCTCTGGGTCCCCCACAGCATGTGACCCATGTCTGTCCTGGGAGGTCAAGGTGGAAAGTGGCAAAGAACACCAGACCTATTCGAATATCAGTGCTACCAACCTTTGATTATGTGACACTAAGCAAGTTACAAAGCACTTATCCTTCTGAAGATGCTTCTTCATCTGCAAATCACCTCGCATAAAGCTTAGACCATCGCAGTAGCCAACAGTAAATATTAGCTATGTTTGCTGTTGACAGGATTACACAAACATCAAGAAATTGTGAATGAATCAGGAAAAGGCCTGACCCAGAGTAGCTGCCTATCAGTTCCTCTTTTTCCTTTACATTAATCAAGTAACTGTTCAGTATGGTACAAATGTAAAATCTGAGGACTGTGAGTTCCCTGTAACCAGGAGACTTCTGGCAATATTATGGGCTGGCAGGAAGAGGACTTATGGATCCAGCACCTGAAATGACCATCTCCAAGGTGAGAAATCAGTTACTCCACCTGGGGTGTCCAGAGAATATGTGAAAGGTCAGACACATGACCAGAAAGTATTGTCTGACACAAGGGAGGGTCCACAGGGAATAGCATCGACAGCCTGTGAGTGGGGAAGGAGCCCCTAGGGCAAGAGGCAGTGGTGGTGATGGTGGTAGCGGCAAAAGCAGGACAACTGGGAAATGTTCCCCGGATGAGTCAGTGGACAAATGAATGGGATGATGGAGCCCATGTCTGGCTGGGACTAGAAGACCTGACAGGCGTGGGCAGCTGATGCTGAGCCCCTACCCTGATGTTAACAGGCTGTCCAGCCACCGCCTTTGACTGTAGCTGCACCCCTGGGGCCGGGGTGGCCTGTCCTACCCTGTGGGAGTTGCTCTCCCCGTGTCTGGCCTGGGCCGCTCCCTGGAACCCTGAGTTGGGAGGCTCTCCCAGGGCCAGCTGCAACCCCAGCCCCCAGTCCCCACACTCAGGCCTGTGGCAGGGCCTGGGTGACCTGAAGAAGTGCTCTCTGTGTCCTGCTCCAGATTCTGCTCTGCTCACCCTCTGCATTTATTGCTCCTCTTTCTGCTCCCAGAGGCGGTGAGTTGGGGTCCCGGATGTAGGCTGTGTCTCCTTGCCCTCTGCCTCCACCCTGCAGGGCATCCCCTGCTTCCATCACTCCACACCGGGCCTGTCTTCTCAGTGACCCAGTCTCCTCCTCTGGGTGCAGAGCCCAGCTACAGTGAAGGGCCTTGGTGGAATCTCAGGGGTTCTCAGAGCAGACACCCAATACCCACCTGAGCCCAGTGTCCCTGAGGCCTCCTGGTGTTACAGGCACTTCCAAAGGTCTGGAATAGTGAGCTTGGGAGCTGAGCGGTTGAATCTGGTCTTCGTGATGGCTGAACTCAGAAGGGGAGGGGAGGCCAATTGACTTGAAGCCCTGGAAGCTGTTGCTTGAGGCTCCTGAAAGTTCTGGCACATGGACAGAGCTCAACTAATATTTGTTGCATCAATTATATACCCAAAGGACCTTAAACACCATCAATCCAAACTCCCTCATTTTACAAACTGAGCCATGGAGTCACAGAGCAGCGCTAACCCACTGGGACTAGGAGATAGGGCCACGGTCCCCACGCATCCCTGGACACTTTACACTCAGTGTCACAAAGCTCTCCTCTGGCAGGACACGTTCTTTCCCAGCTGGCCATGGGTAGATCCACTCTAGGTATGAGCTCTGATGGTGCCCTGAAGGCTCCCTCCTGCCCAGGACATCCTGCTGACCAGGTGGCTAGCCCTACAGCCCCAGAGGCATGGACATGGATGGTGGAATCTCAAACAGAGCCCTGCTCTCCTGGCGATATCACCTCCTCTGGCCAGACCCCTTGGGTGTGAGCCCCAACCAAGAGATCCTAGCCACTCAGCAGAAGCCAAAGCAATCAGACTACAGAAATCTATGAAAAAGAATGGATTTTCTTACTGCACTCAGAGTCTTTAATTTCCTGTGTTTGCCCCCAAAGGAGGTTTTCATCAACAAAGCACTTGGTTCTGTGGGCAATGCGGTTGAAGAGAAGCTGCTGATGAAAAGATTAGTGACTGGGGACATGCAGGGGCTGATGCTCTGGGGAGATGGCTCTGATGAAGCCACAGGAGAGCCCAGACTAGGCATGGACTCCAGGTGGGGGCTGCCCGAAATGTCCAGGGTGGGTACACTGAGAACAGAAGCCAGGTCGGGCTGTCATCAGGAGCCAGGTGCCAGCGAGGAGGTTGCCAAAGCAGAAACAAGTGCTCTTGAGAACAGATTCCTGGACACAGAGAACTTTCAAATCAACTGAAAGAGACAGTGGGAAATAAGGTTGGGGGTCAGAAGCTTCTAGAACAAGAGACAGGACACTGGAAGCTCAGATCAGTTTCTGCCTATATCTCCCCATGTGTCCTAAATTCCAAACTCTGAGCTCTGAGCTAAATTTATGGGCTATTGCAAAGAGGAGCAAAAGAAGCAGTAGTAGCCCGGGAGAGAAGGACTGATGGATTTATGAGACGGTGGAGGGGGAAGAAGCATCTTCTGTCTCCAGCCATAAAAAGGATGTGTATGAGGGCATCTGCTCAGCTGAGCTACCAAGAACTGTTAGGCTAACTTTGAAGCCCCTAGGATTACAGTCAGACATAAGGGAGGACTTCCTGGTTGCCAAACAAAATGAGCTGTCTGGCTCCCACTCCCACACTCCAGGGCCTGGCTCTCACTTGAGCTGGGGGCACTTGGCGTGGCCCCTCCCTGATCTTTCCAGGAACCAGGGATGTCTAGTTCTGGAACTCACCATGGGTCTGGCCAGCCTGCAGGGCTCCGGCTCACGGGTGAGCCCAGTCCCCCAGATGTCTTACCTTGGGCCAGCGAGTTCTCCTCCTGTCTTGCTCCAACTGACCAGAGGCTCCCAGGCTCCCAGGTCAGCCTGATTACACTCTCTTTCCTGAGATCGCTTCTTTCTCTGTCTAGTTTTCCTCTTGCCTCACTTGTTTCTCTCTCTCAGCCTCCTGTTGGGGCTCCTTCTCCACATCTCCCCTTCAAATGTTGGTGTGCTCCAGGCTCCATCCTAAGAAGCCCTCTCTACGGGGTCGCATTGCCCTCTATGGCTTTAAATTCCATTTTTCTACTGCTGATCCCCAGTTGTGTATCTCTACCCTAAATGTCTCCCTGTAAACCCCCTGCCTTCTTAGTATCTCCGGTTGGATGTCTACAGTCATCTCAAGCTTAGCAGGACCACTCAGAACACGAGTCCTCTTCCATGCCTGCTTCCTCCACCAACTTCCCCAACTCAGTGATCAGCATCACCCTCCACCTGCTGTTCAAAGCAAACCCAGTGAATCAGCTCTACACTTACTCCCTGTGTGCCCTTGGACAAGTTAATTGACCTCCCTGAGCTACAGCTTTCTCACATGGAAAGTGAAAATAATAGCAATATATCCCTGATGAAGTCATTATGAAAATTAAGTCAAATGGTGTATGTAGAAAAGAATAGTGCTCAGCACATAGGAAGCAATATCATCGCTGTCCAACTCAGCACCACCCAACAGAAACATAATAACCTGAGCTACAAACAGAAGTTGTACATATGATTTAAAATTTTCTACTAGCCACATTATAAAAGATAAAAAGAAGTGGGATTAGTTTTAATGTTTTATTCAACCCACTATATGTAAAATATTATGATTTTAACATATAATCAATTTTAAAAGATGAGTATTTTACATTATTTTTTTGTACTATTTCTTAAATCCAGTGTGTGTTTTACACTCCCAGCACATCTCAGCTGGGACTACCCCATTTCAATGCTCTGAAGCCCCATATGGCCAGTGGCTGCTACCTAGGCCCGTGCAGGCCTAAGTATTCTCAAGGCTTCCACTCTTCCTCTACAGCAGAGTTTTTCAGCCTCTGCACCATAGATATTTTTTGGGCAAGTGGTTCAGACAGAATTTTAACCCAGAGTATATAGAGAAAGTGCTGGAAATGTGAGTACAGGGGCCCTGGATTATCCAAAAAGAACAGCAGCCTGGGAAGCATAACCTCAGCACTATTGAAATTTTGGGGCAAACAGCTCTTGGTTGTGGGGACTGTCCTGTGCCTTGTGGGATTTTTAACAGCATCCTTGACCTCTACTGGGGCTTCCCTGGTGGCTCCAATGATAAAGAATCTGCCTGGGATGCAGGAGACACGGGTTCAATCTGTGGGTGGGGAAGATCCCCTGGAGAAGGGAATGGCAGCCCACTCCAGTATTCTTGCCTGGAGAATCCCATAGACAGAGGAGCCTGGTGGGCTACAGTCCATGGGGTCGCAGAGTCAGACATGACTAAGCGATTATACTTTCTTTCTTTCCTGACCTCTACTCCCTAGAGGCCAGAAGCAACCCCACTCCCACCTTCCTTCTCGTTACTCGGGCCTCAGTGTGCGGCTCTGTGGAGACTGTCAGGCATCTCTACCCACCTCCAAGCCCCCACTGCTCTTCACTCACCCCCCATCCCCGGAGGGTAAGTCTTTGCACGCTGCCTGGTGTTTTCCTGGGTTACTGTTGTCTGTTTCTTCACTCTGAAACGTAAGCTTCGGGACCGCAGGGACCTTGTCTGTCTTGGTGACCACTGTCCTCCCAGCATCCTGAGGGGAGCCAGGCAGAGTAAGTGCACCCAGCTCGGACTAAAGGAACCAATGCCCTTTCTCTCTCAGCCTCCAAGCCTCACGCCAAGTTCCCAGCCCTTCCCCACACAGCTGTGCCAGGAACCACCCTTGACTCTCCAGGGGTTTGGTCAAAGCGTCACTGCCTCTCCAATTGCTGCTTGGCCAGCTGCTCTGGATTGCCACTCAGGTTCAGCCCTGAGCAATGGCCACCTGTGCACGTGGCAAAGAGAGAAATCCATGCACTGCAGGGCTAGGTCTGCCGAGGGAAGGAGTCTTTCTCTATTTCACACGAAGGGGCCACAGGGGCTGGCAGCATCCTGACCTAATGCTGTCAGCTGCCCAGTCGCAGTGGAACTCTCCATAACAGCGATGGTCCCTTCTAGTGCCCCAAGCCTGGCCCAGGACCCAGGGAACTCAGTCTGGTTGGGAAATGCCTGCCTCTGTGCTCTGAACCTGGCAATCTGCCGGGGGTGGGATGGCACCACCTTTCCCTGTCCTTGTCTTGTACATGCTGGGAGGTCTCTGCTCCCGCCACCCCAGATGTTCATATACCAAGGCAACCATCTGCAGGAGACTCTCCTCTCTGTCCATCCCCCTCTGGTCCCAACTCCCTGGGCCAACTCAAACTTCCACACCTCCCAGAACGGAAGTGGGATAGTGGCCTTAATGCAGGAGTGACTCTAAGAAACAAGAATCTGGCCCCCAGAGCCTGCCAGTCCTGGGAGTGGCAGATAGGAGAAGGCTCATCACAAGGAGCGTTGAGTGAGGAGCAGAGGGTAGCTTCTGGACCTTGGAGCAAATGCTCCTGGAGACTTTGTCTAGTAAATGCCATGGAGAGATATACCCTCTGATGTCCTGCTGGGGCAGCTGTCCAGAGACTGTTCAGGGCTCATTCCCTAGACCTCTGACATCCTAACTGAGCTCTTGTCTCAGGCCATTAGTGTCTGAAGGGCTACAGATTGGCCCCCATCCCTTTGATATATGGGGAAACTGAGATTCCAAACACAGTGTTCTAGAAAGCAGGGGTCACTGAGAGGGCAGTGTTAGGTGGATGAGGCAGGCGGAGGGCAGCACAGCCTCTGCGTCGCTTTCCCAGGCCCCCTGCCCCGGGGCCACCCCTCTCGACCCAGCTCAGCCTTTGTCTGATTTGCTCCTGTGACAGCTGGGGAGGCTGGGCCTCGCCCTGGCTCCTGCCATCAGCCATCTCAGTGAGGCACTAAAGATGTGTGCGAGAGCCAGCCCTCAGCAGCGAGCTTGGCAGGCAGCTCGGTGTTGCCTTGGAGACCACAGAGATGGAGAGTTGCTTCACACGGCTACCGAGGGCCAATGGCTGCTGGTCCCAGAGGTACCTCTCCAGGGGGCCACGGCCACAGGGACGCCATGCAGGTCCCTCCTCCACATGCAGGAGGCAGATGGGGAAACTAAGGCACCGATGGGGGAAGACCTGACAGGTGGACACACTGAGGGTCACTGGTGGGGGAACCAGGACAGAGTAAGGAGCCCCGCCCCACAGCCTTGGACTCTCCAGACCTCCAGGGGCCACACCCCAAGAACACACAGCCAGGAGGCATACAGGTCTCCATGGCCAGGTCTCCAATTTGCATCCTCCGGTAAGACCTCAGGCTTTGTTAAAGGCCCCCACTAAACCTTGCTCCCTGGGACCATCAGCATGTGCACCCACCGAGTCTGAGGAAATCTCCCAGATCTGGATGCCCTGGAAGTGAACAAGCAAACACTGAGAGATGGACGCTGGGCCCCGAGAGGGGAGCCAGAGAAGGGGTGCTGAGATGGGGGCAGCGGGACTTTGGAGCCAGTCAAGTCCACCCCGTTCCTTCCACACAGCAGCAAATCAAAGGGTATGTTGGGTTGAGGGGAAAGTGCAAGCCTCTGAGAAAGGCTGTATGGCCAGGTTTGCCTCCTTAAAGCTGGTGAAGCAGCTGTGGGGCCTCCCACAGACCTGCAGAGACGAGGTCGAGGTCGCCATCCTCAGGGTACATATGGTTTTTGCTGAAGGTGATTCTAAGATAGCCGTCCTCGGCCCTGCTGTGTTCAGTACTCAAGCTCTCCCAGTCAAGCGCTTAGCTATGCAGAGCAGTACAAGGGCCTGGAGCCGACCCTCAAGCAGAAGAGTGGCTCATCCGTGGCCTGCCTGTGGAGACCCCAAGGCTGGCAAGTGCCCCCCTTGCCCCCCAGTTCATGGGTCCATGAAAATTCCTGTCTGGGTTGGAGTCTGAGGCTGGGCCTCTCAGGGTTGTGGGGGCACATGGGTGGGGCCATCAGCAAGGGATGTCTTCCCAGAGAAGGGGAGGGAGAGGGGGCATCAGGTCCTTCCCTGCAGGAGGTATGAAAAGACCTGGCATAGCTCCAAGCATAGATCTTGATGGGTGTCTTTTCTTGGAGGAAGGGGTGGCAGGACTCAGGCATGAGACAGCCAGGCAGGCTCTGGGGTTCACATAAGTGAGCTCATTGCCCTGCAGCCTACTCCTCTGTGGTGCCAAGATCCCCTCATGCCCCAGGTTGTCACCCAGACAGCAGCATCATTTGGTTCCCTCAGAGCTGCCTGCAGCCCAGGGCCTCCCGCCCCCAGCCCCTGCCTGCTGCCTGAGCTGTCAGCCTGACTCCCAAACAAGCTGATTATCCTCATCTGGGGAAAACAGAACTGCCATGCCTGAAAAGAGGCCTGTCTTCTTAGTGAGAAGTAATCTGAGGGAAACTCTCAGCTCTGATATGCAGTACGAAGTAAATGATCATCTGTTTAGCTTGGCTTTCTCCTGACACAAGGGCAGGTTTCCATATGTATTACCTCCTCCGAGAAGACTTCCAGGCCTAGGCTGACCCTACCCAGGCTCACCACAGCCTTCTCTGGACCCTCCCAAGGCCTGTGACGAACTTGCAGTCCATATTCCCCTGTGCAGTCCTACAGCTTTGGTCTGTATATTAAGAAATTCCTCCAGGAAAAATTCAGATCTGGTTTAATAGGGTGATCTAAGCAACTGGTGGGGATGGAGCAGAGTTTCAGGCTTGCCTCCTTTTGGGGAAGAAACTTCGCAATTTAGACTGACATTCAGTCTACCAAACACTCTTCATAATTCCCCACCCCTCCCCTTGCCCATGAGCTCCCTGCACCTGGCATGCCCTTCAACCTACCTGTCCTACCAAAATGTCTTCTGTCAAAGATGTCTGTCAAACCCCAACCAAACGAAACAAAACAAAGCAAAACCCCTACCCTCTCTGGCTTAAAGGGCCCTCAGCCCCCATTATAGCTACACTTGACATGGTATTCAGTTAAGGGGACATCTTCACCCGGCTTCCTCCAGTCCGGGAGCTCCCATCGGCAGAGATTATATCTGCCCAGGACCCAGCCCAGGGGCCAGACACAGTTCTTGTCCAGGTGCTCCGTGAATGAAAATGAAAGTTTCCAATGTCTCACCAGATTTCTCCACCTGCTCCCATCTCTTTTAGCTCCTGGTGCTGCCACTGCCAACTTCTCCCCAAACTCTAAAGAGGAATCTTGTGTGATACATTACCCAGGGTTCTCTACCTGTTTTCTTTGGGAGGGGAACTAATATTTTCCAAATGCCTCTTCCAGCATGCCAGGTAAAGTGATAAGCATTTCACACATTGATCTGATCTAACAGCACCATGGTGTGTTTGGTATAATGCTCCCATCTTACAGATGCAAAAACTGAGGCTCAGGAAAGAAACAGACCTGCCCCAGTGGCAGAGTAAGGATCTGAGTTCCAAGTCTCTTGCTTCTAGGGCCAGCACACTTTCCTCTATATTCAATCAAGGTTCTAATGACCAAACTTCGGGCAAGAAGTGCTGCCCCTGGGACAGCTCACCCCACAGCCCCTCCTTCAGGCTAGATGCCCCACCTGAGCCCACAGGAACCGAGTCATATCACCATCATCGGCTGACTGTTAGCAGCATTTACCACCTGCCAAGTGCAGTGCTAAGTGTTTTGCATGAATTGATACATGATACATTTCATAATAGCTCTTTGAGGTTTGTGCTTTTATAATCTTCACACTCAGATGAGGAAACTGAGGTACAAAGATGTGAGCAAACTTGTCTAAGGTCATAGCTATTAAGTGGCAGAATTCACATTCTTAATAGCATTCAGGCCAAAGACACAGGAGCTATGACTATGCCTCTGTTCTGCAGCTAGCCAGAACGATGCCCCGGTGGTGTCTGCCACACTGCCTCCCTCTCCAGCCTGTCTGCAGCTTCTGAGGGTGGACCCAGAGTCTGCCACCCTCTCTCCCCCAACACCCCACCCCGACTGTGAGCTTATCAAGGGCACGAACCAGATTCATCCTTTTATTTCTTCCCACGGGGGCCAAAAAGGAGCATAATGATTTTACATATGCATTGACGACCTTCACTCTGCCTGCTTCCAAAGCAGATGTAAGATGGTTTAGAATATTGAGATGCATAATTAGGACAATAAAATTATTCTTTAAAACAGAGCTGTTGGAATCCAATCAGCAGTCAGGAAGATGGAGTTCTCTCAGGCAGCTGGGAGGCCCCAGGCTGGGATGCAGGAACCGGGGTTCATGTCCTCGGCTTTGCCACAAACAACCTCGTGTAGATCATTCCTCCTCCTCAAGTCTCAGTGTGCCTATCTGTAACCCAGGTAGGCTGAATATGTCATGCAGAGATTGAAGCTGATACAGACAACTTTTCAGACTGTGCTACCTGGAGATGCATGTGTTAATCACAGACACTCCAGGGGCTGCTGTGGGGTCAACAGGGACCCCAGCCCCTCACCCCCTGGTGCAGTCACTGTGACTATTTTCATGTACTTGAGCCGCTGCTAAAAATGTTTGAAAACCCACATTAGGCAAGACATTCTCCAAATCTTTGCATATTTAAAGCTCTCGACCTCTCTCCATGTTGCCAGACCACCTACCCACAGCAAGCCTCCATTCTGGGCATAGCTAGATATTTCTGATCTTGTTGAGCTCAGGTTGGAAGATATGAATGTCCCTTAGGGAAGGAGCTATAGTTTGGAGCTATCTGGCAGGGGTTGCTGAAATAGAAGCAAATGGACTTTGGATCTCTTTGGATAAGAACTCACCTTGTGCCTCTAAGCTCCAAGTCTTGTGTGTTGGTCCTAGACCACGGGTTTCAGGGGCCTCCTCACCCTCTCCGCCTATCTCTGCAAGGCATCCGTGCTGGAGGCCAGTGCCAGGGACACAGTCTCCTCCAGGAGATCACGTCAGACACAGGCCGGCAGCGGGTGGCCCAGATAAGTTCCTGTCCACCAGTGGGCACTGGATGTTCCAGCCACCGCAGCTTTAGAGATGACTCAGCCGCTGCCCAGACCTCCAGGCGCCCCTGTGTGGACCTCAGGGACTGTGCCCTCAGCTGCCTGACGCCCCCGGTGCTGGCTGCCTCCCTCAGCCATCGGGTGGGTGGCAGAGACCATCCGCTCTCCCAGCCAGGGTCCCGATGGCCAACTTCTAGAACACTTCATCACCTCAGAACTGGCCCAGCCTATGCCTCCCCCGCAAAGTCTATCCACTTACTCACAAGGCCAGGAATGGCTTGTTTATGCTATAAGAGGTCAGAACTGCAGCATGAAATTCAGGTTCAGTCTGTGTGGTACTTCTGCCCCCTTGGAAAGGGGGAGCTCTGGGGCCCCGGAGTGATGTGGTAACACATTCAGGCCCAGTGTGGCCTACTCTTCTGGCTCTGAAAGTGTGAGGCAGGGAGGAAAGTGACTAGGAGGGCTGAGAAGACAGATGGCCAAGACCCGGGACAAATGGGCTAGGAGAGAGAGAAATGCTGGCTAGTCAGCTGCCTCTTCCCATGAGCACAAGCTGGAGGGCATCCCTAGGGCTTTGGGGGCCCACAGTAGTGCACCCCACATTCCTTCCAGGACAATTTGCAGAACCAGTGGGAGCCAGCCACAGTGGGAGTGACTTGGCTTCTGGAACATGGGCTCTGCCGACCCCATGCTGTAACCCACACCTCACTGCACTCCCCTTGGCAACACAGACACCTATGACTAGGACCCTGAACTTCCTTAACCACTCCTCTCTTAGCCATTCCTCTCTTAGCTACTCCCTCTTAGCCACTTCTCCTCTGCTCCCCCAGTAAATGATGGTGGCCCTGGGCTGTATCCCCACCCTCTTCTCACTCTGCAGCAGCACTTAAACTGGAGTCATAGCGCAGTCTCTGTGGAAGGGGGTAGAGATGTCCCCCATGGACTCTGATATTCCTACCATACACCCAGGCCCACTCCATTGAGCATCACCCTGTATCCCTGTCTATTTACCAATGAGAACAAATCCATCATTTGAGCCCCACTCCTCTCTATCCAGCTATCTACTAGGCATCTCCACACTGATGCCTCACAGATACTTGGCAGTCAGCCAGTCCAAAATCCAGCTCATCTCTGCATTCTCAGTCCTTGTAAATGACCTAATTGCCCAAATCAGAAACCTAGTTAAGAATTAGACATTTCTCCAAGGAAGACATACAGATGGCAAAAAAAACACATGAAAAGATGCTCAACATCACTCATTATCAGAGAAATGCAAATCAAAACCACAATGAGGTACCACTACACGCCAGTCAGGATGGCTGCTATCCAAAAGTCTACAAGCAATAAATGCTGGAGAGGGTGTGGAGAAAAGGGAACCCTCTTACACTGTTGGTGGGAATGCAAACTAGTACAGCCACTATGGAAAACAGTGTGGAGATTTCTTAAAAAGCTGGAAATAGAACTGCCATATGACCCAGCAATCCCACTTCTGGGCATACACACTGAGGAAACCAGATCTGAAAGAGACACATGCACCCCAATGTTCATTGCAGCACTGTTTATAATAGCCAGGACATAGAAGCAACCTAGATGCCCATCAGCAGACGAATGGATAAGGAAGCTGTGGTACATATACACTATGGAATATTACTCAGCCATTAAAAAGAATTCATTTGAATCAGTTCTAATGAGATGGATGAAACTGGAGCCCATTATACAGAGTGAAGTAAGCCAGAAAGATAAAGTACATTACAGTATACTAACACATATATATGGAATTTAGAAAGATGGTAACGATAACCCTATATGCAAAACAGAAAAAGAGACTCAGATGTATAGAACAGACTTGTGGACTCTGTGGGAGAAGGTGAGGGTGGGATGTTTCGAGAGAACAGCGTCGAAACATGTATATTATCTAGGGTGAAACAGATCACCAGCCCAGGTTGGATGCATGAGACAAGTGCTCGGGCCTGGTGCACTGGGAAGACCCAGAGGGATCGGGTGGAGAGGGAGGTGGGAGGGGGGACCGGAATGGGGAATACATGTAAATCCATGGCTAATTCATTTCAATGTATGACAAAAACCACTGCAATGTGGTAAAGTGGAGAGGGAGGTGGGAGGGGGGACCGGGATGGGGAATACATGTAAATCCATGGCTAATTCATTTCAATGTATGACAAAAACCACTGCAATGTTGTAAAGTAATTAGCCTCCAACTAATAAAAAGAAATGAAAAAAAAACAAAAAGAATTAGCCTCTTTTACGAAGATCACTCCTATCCTGATCTAATCCAACCAGTCCTGTCCCTCATTTACATTAGAAAGGCATTTTATTTCTCTTTTCTGACCGTAAGGAATTGCACAATCCAGAGACTGTTACCTCCCACCAGTTGCAATGTCTTCCCCACAGGTACCAGGCCTCTACCCTCACCTACTGTCCCTCCAGGAATTGAATGAGTTTTGCCACCTGCTCATCTGACCAAGCCATTCCTTTGCTCTAAAATCCTCAGTGGCTCCCTATTTCCCTTTGCATCACACCTAACTCTCTCTGCCATCAGCTTCCAAGTCTGTTTTCTCCTTCCTGACTTACTCTCCACTCGAAACTTTCTTGATCCAATCAGGTGGAGCTTTCCTTCACCTTCTCCCATCCTTTCTCAGTTCATTCTCAACTTTTGCCCCGACTCAAGTTGCAAGACGAGAGCCTCCAATGAGGCTCTTCTGCCTCAGTTCCCATGTCCAAGTCTTAAAAGACCAGCTCTGTCCTACAGGAGTTTCCCAACAGCCTCAACCCCCATGGGCCTCCCTTCTCTGAAATCCCAGGTCCCAAAGGGCTGAGCTCTCCCTTCCAGCCTGGCTCTCACCTCAGCCTGGGCCCTTCTCTGACTAACAAGCTGGTGAGGCTGGTCTCCCCACCAGCCAGGGGCTTCCTGAAGGATAGGCCACAGGTCTCCATCCCAGTCTTTCCAGGAGGCCAATAAAGTGAAGACCAGGACTTAGAGGACAGAGTGTAGAGCAGGGTCTCCTTCAACATTCAGAGGGACCACTCATGCCTTCCACCTTTCCTTGGCCTGGACAACTACATTTACTGTTCTCAGAGGGAAACTCTGGGATCCCAGTGGTCTTGGATGGGTTTTGCACCACATCTTCTTGTGGGAGCAGTTTGGGAGTTCAGGTCTTACAGCTGGGAGCCTGGGTCTAAGTCCTCTGACTCCTGGCATTTACCTCCTTCCCAAACATGGACTTGGGCCTGGGACTGCTGCCTTCTGAGGCCCTGGCAGTGTGAACATCAATTCAGAAGCTACTCTCTTCCTCCTTGATCCTGATCATCCCTCCCCACCTTACCTACTCCTAAACTGTACGCTGAACGTTCCAGACCATTTTAGTCTGGAGAGATCTGAGACCTGCTGTTCCAAATCAGCAGGGAGCAGTGTGTGGGACACATGAAGAGGTTTACTGGGCAGGGATGAAGCAGAAGCCCCTCATCTTCCTCCTGCCCTCATCCTAGACACCTCCCCAGGTGGGAATCTAGAGGAGCCCTCCCTGCTCTCCCCAGCAGGGCCTGTGACCCTGGGCAAAACACCTACCTTCCCCAAGCCTCCTCATCTGTATAATGGGCATTTACATCTTCTTCAAAGGATTAGATGAAGATTGGAAATAATATAAAAAAAAAAACAAGGAGGAGGCCATTGGAATTATTGGAAATTATTACTTTTCCCTTTCATCATCAACTTGAGTTCTCTCACCATCCTTGGCAGGAAGTCTGAGCCAGGGTCATTCTCTCCCTTTTGGTGGATATGATCACCAACATGCAGATGTTAAATGTTTGCCTGTAGTCCCAAATCCATTCAGAGAACCCCAAGTAAAAATAGCGCATATTTACGGAGACCTTATGCTCTCCCAGGCTCAGTACTCTACTTGGATTATCTCATTCAACTGTCATAACACCACCATGAAATGGTCTGATTATTATCTCCAGTTTACAGATGGACAAACTGAGGCAGATTGTGCTTAAGCAACTGGCCCATAGAGGCACATGGTGAGCAACTGTCAGGGATTAGAACACAGGACTTCTGATCTCTCAGCATGCCACACTCTTCACTACCTTGGCCCCCTTGAGTCTAAGGACTAAGAGAGTGAACCTGAATGGATCGCGTCAGCCACACCCCAGGCATGGATTGGTGCCTTCCTCAGAGCCCACAGCCTACGGAATGCACTGTGGTAGTCCTCATCCGTCTGCCGAGGAGATGGCCAGAGTCAGTGAAACAGGAAGTGGGTCCTGAAGGAGAGACACAAACAGGTAAATTGTGCTTTGTCAGCCCAGGCATGAGGGAATGGGAGAGGAAACCCCTCCAGATTCCTCATCCCTGCTTCAGTCTCCCTCCTTCTCAGTCTCTTTCTCTTCTTCTGGTCTCCACGCCCGCCTGGTCCTCCTCTGGTTTCCTCCACCTGCCCCCATTTCTCCCCAGAGCAACCCCGGCCCCCACCCCCAGACCCAGGCAGGCTGAGAGGAGTGGGGCAGAGCTGTCAGTCAGCCTGGGGCAAGCCCCACACACTAGAGCAGGAAGCCTTGTCCTCAGAGCCCACCACCACCCCCATATTTCCCATCAGGCAGAAATGAACCCAGCTGGACGGAACTGGCGCTTACACCCAGCCCTTCCTCCAGGGCTCCCGCCCCCCCCCCTCCTCTGCTCATCCTACCAGATGTATTCACTCATTGAGCAATGAGTGGTGAATGGCCACTCTGTGCCAGGTAGGAGACCCAGTGCTGGAGTCTAGGGGCGGAAACGGATACAGCCCAGCCCTGGGCCTCAAAGAAGGTGACCGTCCCTAGAGCGCTCGAAGGGCTGGACCAGAGGCACCAGCAGGGAGGCCTGCGGGAGCCTAGGTAACAGGGCTGGTCTCTGTTGGGGCCAAGGTGTCGGGGGACTCTTTTATGTTTCCGGGTGAATCTGACCCACCCCATCTCATCTGAGAATCCGTGTGACTTCCTGACCTCCATGACACAGCTGTTGAGTCCTGGGGGAGGAGCAGGGACTCCCGGTGATGAACCCGCTCCCCTAACCTGACTCTGTGCCCACTCCCCCACCTTACACCCCGGTACCCCACATCCAAGCACTGATTCCTCCATGGCCAGTTTACCAA